CGGATTTTCTTCAGAAAAAGAAGCCGTGCTCTACTTCGGCATAGTATGCTTACGCTATATAAATCCTTAGACCACTATGCGAAAATAGTTGGGTATTGACTATATAGAGACAAACTGACAGGAAGCATAATAATCAATCATATAATAAAGAAAAAAAATAATTATATATAAATTTTATTACCACTACCATATTCGATTTAATATATGAAAACAACTACGAATATCATACTAGATATATTCTATAAGAATTACTTTAAATTGCTATCTACCTCGATTATTTCTACACCAACTACTACTTCTACAACGACACTACTACTACCACTACTACTACTACGACACGACGACTTCTTCTACTACAACTATTAGTAAAAATAGTAGTAGTGGTAGACTCCCTGTCACTCTTACTGCTGCTACTTCTACTATAGATTCAATATACAGTCAAACCTCGTTATCTCGAATTCGATTGGATCGAGAAAAAACTGAGAGATATCCGAGGTACGAGATATTGAGGGTAAAAAGTGCTTGAGACTTCCAAATCACTTCGACATATTAATGATATTTGATATATCCGTGTTCGAGATACCGAAATTTAACTGTACTTGATAGCATTATTATCAATTCTACAAATATTATTACTATTACTACTACTTATACTACCATAAACTACTAAAACTTGTTCTGTTGCGTTATAGGATCTTATTTACATGTACTTCTGTTCTATTTGTCCAAAATGCACTCTGAAGGGTATATCCAAAGAGTCTTCTTTGAAACAGAAAAATTAAAATACAATAGTGATTTTCAATAAGAAGACATATAGATTTATTCTCATATAGGTGCAAGCGTTAAAGGTCTGATGAAGTTTTCAATATGGAAGTAGGAACGATAGCCAGCCATTGCTAACAAATTTAGAATATATCAAGAATACTCGTTGGTCATGATCGGTTTAACTTTTCTGGGAAAAAAGAGGACTGTATTAAATATAGGACACTGCGATTTTTTTTTTTTATAATTGAAACGTGTTCTTTTAATTACTAGATAATAGTTAATAGCAAGAAGACAAATCAGCCTTAATTGACCAAATGAGTTATTATTTAGACAACAGTTAATCAAGTTTACAGCGATAGCCAGCTTATATTTACTTGTCTAATCCGGCCACAACTCGTTCCAAAGAAATTGGCCGGATTAGACAACATTCCAGATTAGAAAACATAAACAAGTAAATTTACTGAAAAGGATTAAAAGTTTACGTCGTATTATGCAAAATTTTGGATTATACAACATCCGGATTATGCAAGTTTCACTGTATAATAAAAATGAACTTTTTTACATGAAGCAGTAGAAAATATTAAGATTTTATATCAAAATACAGATACACTGTATAAGGAAGCAATTAAATCTCTATTAAGGGATTTGCTATGTCTAGGTTTTTATTACATATTATCACTTTTTTTCTATCGTTTATGCCTACAGATTTCCGATTTTACATGGGTCTCATGGCCCTCAAAGGAAACTTTAAGCGATGATAAAATAAAAAGCAAAACCTTATCAAATGATAAAATGGAATAAATGTCAAAGAAGAAAGATGATTGTCAAGATGACGACGAATCAGACAAGGAGACATACATCGTCAACACTTCTAAGCCATGGGAAGTAAAGCAATGGAAAAAAAAGAATTTGTCAAAAGACAACCTGGAATGTGGGCAGTTGTTTTTCAAAACAGAAGAAGTGAAACTTGATAAAATTGTACCCTTGCTTCTAGTTGGCGGTAATTTCTTTTGTTTAATCGTACTACACATCTTTTATCCATCTTCTGGTATATTTTTATATAGCGTTTTACACAGGCGTTTTTTTTTTTTTACAGTTGTTATGCATATATTTCATGTAAGACATGTTACAGGACTACATGACAAATTACAGAGCAGTGGTCTGGTAAGTATTTATGGGAAAATGATTTTTTACTCACCTGCAAAAAAGTGTTCTTATTTATTTTATTGTTTCGTTTCCAGGAGGGAAACGTAGGATCAATTTGTTGAATCAAAAAAAAAAAAAAAAAAAAAAAAAAAAAAAAAACAATTAACGCAACTTTCTATAATATATTAAGTAGATACAAGGTCACGGATGAAAATTTATATAAAGCACTAAAAATGACCAACAGCGCGAACAATAAAACTTGTCCATTTTTGGGACGCCACGTCCCTTCTATAGGACATAGAAAAGCTTAAAAAGTCATTAAACAACAAAACAGATTAAACCAAAAACATCTAGCAGTACAACTACGCTTCTAAACCCTATTTATTTGCACTTTTACATTTTGAATTTGATGTTGAACACTAGTGTTTATATCAACATTTATCCTAATGTCATTCACTGTAAAGTTTACCCTACTTTTGAAAATGTTTAATCATAGTCTTGAACTTCCCTTCAGAGACATCAGATTTTCACAAATACATCGTGTTTGATTTTCACAAATGCATCGTCTTACACCAATAGGTATTGTTGAACAAATAAACAAAACTGTTTTGAATACATGTATTTTGTGTTTCAGATGAAGAAAATGCTTCAATATGTTAAGTACTTATCTTGTCTGCTGTTGAAAAAGGGGCAATGGATTTTCCCAGGACAGTTTGTTAGAATGACTATGGAAGACATTTTTGATCAAACTTCATTGCATTATATTTTTGGAAGGGTGAGCAATGGGTTTTATATCATATTAGGCGAATACTGCAAATTATGTGAAAACGCCGCAAAGTGAAATAAAATTACCCTTCTTTAGCCCTTTCCCCTTCTTGTGACTTCCAACTGGTAGAAACTCAGATATGCTTGGAATAGTTTATATAGAATAGACAAAATACACATTGATGTTGCGTTACTTCTAATTTCTGTCCAGTGCCAGAGCCATAGTGACGACTGTCTTGATTGTACCTCCCTCAAGCCGTGTTTATCCCTTTTAAACTGTCAGTGATACACTTACGTGGCCGTTATTCACATTTTAAGACACAGTTTTATAAGTATTTATTCAGGAACCCCAAAATGAGCTACTTTTTAAAAGAAAAAAATGGTTAAACTGAACAATATACCAAAACTATTTCAACTTTATTCACTAAATAAATGTGTGTTGGAAAGAGAAGCTTTTTTTCTTACTTCAGATCATGTACCAATTTTTGTATTTGCAGAATATGGAAGAAGATATTAGCAAAAAAATATGGAAAGACCTCAGAAGAGAAATGAAATCCACCAGTTTTCCTCCTGAAGTAAAAGGTTTAAGGATTTTTACAGAACAAATTAAGTTTTTTTTTAATTTTAGCATGACAAGTGTTGTTATTTGGCCAACTTCATTTTATATCTATCGTAGCTTTTGTAAAAAAGCAAAATTTTCTCCCTTTCTCTGTAGTCTTTCAATTCAATTTTAGATGGAAAACTTACACTTCGAAATGAATATTCAGGTGTCAATTTGGTATTCTACGCCCTTTTGAGAACAGGAAAATTTATTGGTGCTAGACAACTTGTAGAGAAAGGATGTGTAAGTAGTTCCTTCACTTGGTAATGACAGATATGTTTATTGTGCACCTACATAGTTTCTTTTAAGCAAAATAAAGGTTGCACCTAATATATCACACTATATCAAAAAGGTCAATCAGAGGAAAACAACTCGTTGTCCGCAACGACTTTCTAGTTTTTATCAGCTCACCCGAGCAGAAGGCTCAATTGAGCTTTTCTTATTACATAACGTCCAGCGTCCGTCTGTCTCTTCATTTGTCTGTCTATTAACTTTTCACATTTTTGACGTCTTCTCAATAACCACTGGGCCAATTAAAAGAAGACTTGCCACAAAATATTTTTGAGAAAAGGGAATTTTAGGGTGTTTATATGAAGGGTCAAACCTTCTTTCAAGGGAAATAATTGCGAATTAGTGCAAAATTATTGACATCTTTTAAAAATCTTCTTCTCAAGAACCTCTGGATTAGCAAAAGTGAAACTTATGCGGGAATATCACCAGGTAATGTAGATTTATGTTTTGTTTGTTTCTTTGTTTGTTTGTTTGTTTTTTGTTTTTGTTTTGTTTTGTTTTGTTTTGTTTTGTTTTTTTGTTTTTTTTTTGTTTTTTGTTTTTTTGTTTTTTTTTACATCAAGACGACTGCGGGTAGAGTGGGGTTTAAATGGCGATCAAAATTTTACATAGGAATGCACAGGAAAAATATTTTTAAAAATCTTTTTTTTCAAGAACAGCTAAGCAATGAGTTGTCATACTGATATGGAAGCATTCTCAGGTAGTGTAGATTCAAATTGATTAAACTCATTCAGTTTATTCATATTCTTTCAAATCATGACCCCCATGGGTAGGGTGGGGCCAGAATGGGCAACGTTTTCATAGAAGTTCATAGGAAAAATCTTTGAAAATCTTCTACAAAATTGCAAGCCAATTATTGCTCATATCTATGTTGAAGTATCCTCAAATAGTGTTGACTCAAGTTTGTTTAAATCATGACTCCATGGCGTAGGGTGGAGCAACACCGGTTTCTCGTTTTTATTAGTTTTTCTTTGCTTACAGATTGGAATTCGGCCGATTCTGATAGGCACTAGAACACTGGATGATTTGAAAAAAGAATGGAAAGCAACAACTGATTTTCAGAAAGAAATGGAATGCATGGCAGGGTATAAAACTGAAAGAAAATAGAAAAAGATACCTACATCAACTCAAATTTTATAACTAAAATTATTTTTGACAGTCATTTATTTTCTGATTTACTTTAATGAAGCATTTAATTATTGAATAGAACGAAACAAAATATAGATTATTGACAAATCGTTTAAACGTTTATTTAAGGATGTTTAGTCAACATGCGTTGAGTATAATAAACTACATCCAGGAAAAAGATGAACGAAATAGGCACAAGGCCTCAGAAAGGAGAAACAACAATTCCGTCGACAACAACGAATGTCAAATATGTTGCAAGGAATTGCTGAGCAAAATAAAACAATTCTTCTTTAATGAAGATGAGATGTCTAACAAAGCTGGAAGACTGCTTCTAAATCATGGTTATCTAGAAGCTGCATACAAAACAGAGAATGAATGCTTCCTGGAAAATGCTAAGCTTAAAACTATGCTTAAGGAGATGTGGTATGGAGAAGGGTATAAGGAAAAGAAATGCTGTGAAAAAGTTCTATACTTTGTATGTATTTCTATGCGTAGTAAAGTTTTCATTTTAAGGACTTTTTCGATCTCTCAGTTTGTATTCACTGTAGTTATACCTGAAAATAAACTAGGTTTAATTATTTTCTTTTTCAAATCTGCGGCTTACTATAGATTCAATATGACTGAAATGTGACGTGTATATCAAATGAAAAATGAAAGTAGGAAAGGGTTCTGATTATTAGTTTCGAATTGTATGAACATATAATTGATTAATAATCATATGATAAACAATTGAATGTATATTTGATCTGAAAATGGTTTTCCTTATCTAGAATTTGTATATCCAGTTAACTTAAGGTTCTTTTAAAAGTAAAAAGACAAAAACAAATCTTCATTAATTGAAATATTTTATGTATTACAGGGTTCTCCATCATTTCAAATTTTATTGTGAACAATACTTAAGCGAAGTGCTAAAATTTGCAGTCTTTTCGCGACCGAATTCTAAGAAAAACTACTTAATTAATTGAAAAAAGACACTACTCTTCTGACTCAGTAGCTTGATAGTCGAATTGTATCAATCATTTCGCAAATATGATTAGAAATAAAAAACTAATGAGTATGGAGCAAGCATAATGTAAACAAAAATTAGAATGTTTCAAATACTGTTAGGAAAAGTGTGATTTATTACCCAACCCCAAGCAATACACATACATCCTTATAATTTAACAAATGTGCGTTCACAAAATCTGACAATAACACAAATAACATTTTATCTGTTTAACCCTTTTTATTTTTCTAAGTTTCTTTTTGTTTACAAACAAGAAATTTTTACACCTTCAGTGTGTACAATGAAGGGCAAAAGAAATTCTAGTAGGTCACACAATCAAAATACATTAATACGATTGATTGATTGATTGATTGTATGTTGTTTTACGTCCCGTTCGAGAATTATTCACTCATATAGAGACGTCACCATATACCGGTGAAGGGCTTCAAATTTTGACCTTTACTCGGCACTTAGGGCCATTGAGCAGTAAGGGATCTTTATCGTGCCAACGCCTGCCCTGACACGGGCCTCGGTTTTTAAGGTCTCATCCGAAGGACCCGCAACTTTCACTTCAAAGTGCCGAAAGCATGGCGAAGGAACAGTTGCTACCAATTTTTTTTTATCGACTTAGGTCAGTCGCGGCCGGGATTCAAACTCACGACCTCCCGATCACGGAGCGAACGCTCTACCAACTGAGCTACCGTGAACGATCCATTAATACGAGGGTTGGCCGTTAAAATCGTAGACATCGCGTTTTCATCGAAAAATAATGCACGTACTGAGCTGAAATTTTCAGAAAATGTTAATTTATCATTTTAAGTACATTTTAATATTTCTAATAACCTATATTCAAAACATGGATTTTATTATACTTGAATGTGGACAGGGTATGGCCCAACGGAACACGAGGAAAATATCAGGGTTTACAAAGGTGAAGTATGAATGCCCTATCACCAACTGTTCAAAAGAATTGGTCAAGGATAAAGGCTTCCAGACGTAGGTCAAACTCCAGGGTGAAGGTCAATGGGCTATAATTGTTGATATCCTAATATATAAAGTATTATATAGATAAATTTTGGATAAAAATTGAATTATTTTTCATTCCCTATCTATTATATCGTCATTTGGAAAATTTCAAGGAATTTGCCTTACTTTTCCGCAGTTTTCCGAGACTTTGATATGGCAAAGTGGTAAATGCAGCACACGGAAAATTACTCACCGGAGAATAGTTCAGTTATATGTTGATTGAGAAATGACGCATTAAGAGACTTTAAATGAAAACAGAATGTAACAAAAAATTTAAAAATATCACTGATATATTTGAATACAAGTGAAATGGGCATTTTCATAAGCAGGATCCTTTTGATCGAGTCTTCCGGTAGATCAACCAGCTACTGGCAATGATGAAGTATGCTATCGTTGCATACATTCGAAATAAGACTGCCTATTTAGTTCAGTGAAAGTGAGAGTACCTCCCATAACCAACTAATACAAGTTGTCATAAAGTCCGATGTGTGTGCGAGATTGGTCTCTTGGCTGTTTATGGAGGAATAAAGGGGGACTCGATTGTATGACTCAATAAAATATTTGGAATTAAAGTGGGGCTTATCCAACTCTTTAAAGCAAAGATGAAAGGTAGCGTTGCTTCAAACATGCTGACGTCATTATCCGTGCACCGGAAGCCGATACCACACATAACATAAAATCCCATATTTGGGAGGGGGGGGGGGGGTTGCATATAACTCTTTAAAATTTGCTATGTATATTGATGAAAAATTTATTTAAGAGTACGGGAAATTTTAGAAAGCAGGAAGGATTATTTTTACTCTAGATTACTTGTCCACAATTTTACCGGACATACCTCGTACATTTGCTGTTACCGGTGTCGGCTGTATAATGTTTCAGAAAATTTGTGAATCAAAAAAACTTAAGTAATTTCGAGTCATAAAATACCATGCTCAATTGATATATTGGTAACTTTTCAACATTACATCAAATAGAGCAAATACAATTTATCTTTGAGTCAAATACTGACTGACGTTTTTATACTAATTGTTGGCCATTATTTACACACTGAATTGTCGACGGAATTTTCCGTTATTTCCAGATCATGACAAGAAGCACACGGCTCATCAGAACATCAGAAGTGGGATCAGATGGCATGGAAGAGTAAGCATCCGCTGTCGACCGCTCACATCCGCCGTGTGCCCATAGTCATGATCGGAGAAACGGAAACATCCGTAGACAATGCAGTGTTTAAATAATGGCCTAACAATATTATGAAAAACGTCAGACAGTATTCGCCTTAATGTATCTAGGAGATACATCTTAGTGAATAATAGGGTATTGAAAAAAATCATTTTCAATTATTGGGAATCTGTAATCACATGACTTGTATCTTTTCATTCACGCGTAGTAAAGTTCAGCGAGGGTCTATATTGACTGATTGATTGATTGTTATAAACCCCTTATGAGCGTTAAGCATTCACTCGTCACAATCTACCGGTGAAAGGGTTTAAGTTTAGATCTATATGCGGCACTTACAGCCATTGAGCAGTGAGGGTTCTTTATCATGCCAACGACAACCTTGACACAGTACCTTCCTCCGTTTTTAAGATTATATTCGAAAGACTTCTTCTTCTAATAACGAGCGCTTGGCAAAGTAATAGTCACTTTACACGTTAACGGCGTAATTTTGACACGGTGCCGGAAACAAGAATCGGAGCGAGCATCCAACCACTGTGCTACCACGACTGAATCAAGGGTCTAGAAGATATTTGATTGTTTAAACCAACTAATGGGGCCTAATTAAAGGAAATTAACAATTAAGCATTAGAAACTAAAAAAACTGTTCTCAATTTCGAGTCTTATTTTGTGATTTATAAATTTATACATTAATGTTCCTGTGGCGGGGCCGCCACGTTAAACAGCCCTTGGAGAACCCTGAATTATTTGATGTAGGCATATTTAATATAATAAACTAATATTCCCCTTTTTGTAGTTTTTTAGGTTATTCCTGTGCATTATTCATATCTTTATCATGCCGGTAATGGTTTTCTCATTGGGCAGGCCATCATGGTAATTTTTTAAAGAAAACTTCTTCCATAGCTATAGGTCAGAAAAGTTATAAAAATTTCTGTCAAAAATTCAAAACTTACACATAAAAATCATCTATAAAAATTTAGATTATCTTTAGAAGCATCTTTATTTACAGGTTCTATCAAAAGTATCATATCCCAATCCTGAAATTGTGGATCAACATGGTAAGTGTGTTTCCTTTTGCATCAGACTGCCCTATACAATTGTAATTTCATTAGCCAAGTAAACTTTCCTAATAGGCGTTTGTCTTGTTTATCAGTCCATAAGTCACTCTTTTTACTTCAATATAATCAAGAACAATTGAGAACCGATACAACGAAAACATAGTTAAGCATAGAAAAATATATTTAACTTCAGTTAAATTTACTAAATCAAATTGTCAAGGACATAACTAATGTGAATAAAAGTTTCTGAAGGAATCATTTTAATGAAATATTGAACATAAATACTGAAAGATATGAACCTGTAAAAATTTAGGCATTTATAACTTTTTGTCTTGGAAGTTTTATTTTCTTTACACAACTTAAAAGTAGGTATTACCTGAAAAGTTCCAAGCGTGTTTGTTAACACAAGAGATCTGGAAGCTCAGTCTAGCTTATTCTATTCAAATCTTTTGTCTAGTCTCCGTTTCTTTCTTTTTTGTAAACAACATACAATCAATCAATCGTTTTTATTCAAAAATTAACACAGATATGCACGCATCTAATTGAATGTGTATTGAGCAACCTAGTCATGATGCTCAATTAGATGCGTGCATATCTGTGTTAATTTTTGAATAAATACGAGTGATTGATTGTATGTTCTTTTACGTCCCATTCGAATACTTTTCACTTATATAGAGACGTCACCATATACCGGTGAAGGGCTTCAAATTTTGATCTTTACTCGGCACTCAGTGCCATTGAGCAGTGAAGGATCTTCATCGCGCCAAGCCTGGCGTGACACGGAGCCTCAGTTTTTAAGGTCTCATTAGAAGGACCCGCAACTTTCACTTCAAAGTGTCAAGCGCATGGCGAAAAAACAGTTGCAACCCATTTTTATTGACTTAGGTCAGTCGCGGCCGAGATTCGAACTCACGACCTCCCGATCACGGAGGAAGCGCTCTACCGACTGAGCTACCGTGAACGGTGAATGGATAAATACGATGGTTGTCCCTAAATTTCCTAGACTGAGCTCATATATATTGCAGATATCAACGTATCTTTATATAATTTCATGTGTGTATAAAGTGTGTTTTTTAAATGATGAATTAGGATTTTTTTAAAATGATTATCTTGCCTGCTGGGATATTAGTGAACATCAGCAGTATCGATTTTTTTGGAAAATGCACTACTTATCAGAATCACATTTTCTGCTTTATCATAAAAGTTTATTGATTGATTGTATTTTGTTTTACGTCCCATTCGAGTTTTTTTCACTCATATAGAGACGTCACCATGTACCGGTGATCATGAAGGGCTCCAAAATTTAACCTTTTCTCGGCACTCAGGGCCATTGAGCAGTGAGGGATCTTTATCGTGCTATTGCCTGCCGTGACACGGGGCCTCGGTTTTTAAGGTCTCATCCGAAGGACCCACAACTTTCACTTCAAAATGACAAGCGCTTGACGAAGGAACAGTTACTCCCCAATTTTTGATCGACTTCGGTCAGTCGCGATCACGGAGCGAGCCCTCTACCGACTGAGCTACCGTGAACGGTCATAAAAGTTTAAGTTATAGATATGAAATTTCATAATTGATATCATATGCGAAGCATTAATATATTAAAAAAAGGTTTGAATTACATGCATTCATTAATACATTATAAAAATCTCCTTTATCTCTGAGGGATTTTTGTTCGTCTCTCCGAAAGGAGTTGCTCTGTGACGCTTTGACAACGATTCTTTGTCTATTTCTTTCGGTCGGTCTCCTTTTTTGCTTCTTTTTCACACAAACCTTGAAGAACTGCTTATGTCATTCAAACACTTCGAACATTAATATGTCCATGTATTCAATAAATCTGTGTCTTCATTTGCGTCTCTACTGGGATGAATTCAAGTTTCGAACTACGTTTTATCATTTTCCAGTCGCCGCCTGTGTCAATGCGGCGTCATTATTATTAAATAGTCAAGTGTTAAACCAATGCAAATAAGCGTTATAGAATTCTTATTAAGGAAGTTATACACGATGAAATTGGAATAAAGGCAGTGCTTTATTTCGTTCTTATTTAGCCTGTGAAATTTCGACAAGAAATTACATTTTTGCGAGATTTTATATTTCATATACCGATTTTGTAATAGTAAAGTTTGGGACTCGGCCGCCTCTTGACATCAAAAATTGAATTTTTTCAATTAATTAAAATAAGTTTGTGTACTTACGCAACGTTTTACACTAAAAATATTGGTTGTTGGTAGTTTTGCTTATTTTTAAAGTTTCATTAATTTTTATGCACCGCCATAAAATAACCCCGTTCCGTCATTCCGTCACTCTGCCATTCCGTTATCATTCACTTTCCGTTCATCATCTCTGCAACAGTTGCACACATTTAACTCAGATTTAACATATGGATACGTCATAGGAATACGCAGGTCAAGTTTGAACTTGGTCTCGGTCCGATGATTTTTAATAAAAAAAAGAAATTTTCAGTTTCCGCTCTCTAGCTTTTGAAGGGATGTGTGTATAAAATTGAAATTGCATGTGCAAGTGTGTTACAAGAAAATACAAGTCAAAATTGAATTTGGTCATGGTCCGACGAGTTTTGACAGAGTTATCCCTCTTTAACATAGAAAAAATAAGAAATTTTCAATTTCTGCTCTCTAATTTTTGTAGGGATGTATGTATAAGAATGGAACTGCATATGCATGTATTTTACCAGAAAATACAGGTCAAGTTCGAATTTGATCATTGTCCGATAATTCCCTCTTTGACTTATAAAAAATTAGACAATCTCAGATACCGCTCTCTAACATTGGTAGGGGTGCATGTATAAGGTTGAAATTGCATATGCAGGAATTTTATCAGAAAATACGGGTCAAGTTTGAATACAAATTTGAAACTAAATATGGCATTTGAAATTTTGGCTGCCTCCAGGGGCATTCGTGGCGTTATGACACATCTAGTTGACAATGGCTTACTGCAAAACGAAGATTAACTACCGAATTTTGGGACAACCCTAGCACTGTAAATAATTTTAATAATTAACCAGGTATAAAAAAGTGTACATCTTTAAGCAAACCTTCTTAATGGGCATTTGTACATTCATTTGAATATAAACCGCACTTCCTTTTAGTCCTAAGGGCAATTTATTTGCAAAAAATATTTTTAATGAACAATATCTTCATGATTATTTTCGGCTCGTAATATTATAGCTGCCATACAGCAAAATTAATGAGAAAAAACCCTGAAACACAACACAATTTAATTTTAGGTTGAGATCAAATATTTGTTTGATATCTATAACTTTCTTTTTTTTTTTAATATTTTATTGCAGGTAGGATTAGCTTCGTTTCTAGCTGCCTTTGCCTACATGCTTTTGTTTGACTATACCGAGAATAGAATATCGCAGTCAGAGTATGCGGTACTCTACTGGATTGGTAACAAATTACTTGACGAATTACATCAGGTATTTTTTTTCTTATAAGACTTTTTACAGTATATCAAAAGAGGTATCATAGATATCATTGTGACGCTTCATTGTAAATAATAATAATAATAATAATAGTAATAATAATGATGGTTGGACTATGAGTTTTGTTTGAGAAGTTCAATTGAAACGATCACATTTTAATAATAACTGGTATCTGGTATAATTTTTTGCAAGAAGGTCCCAATTTCGTTATAAGATATCCCAAAACAAATTCATTATTTGAAATTAAGAAAAAAAGTTATGATCCCGAACTTTTTATGTCAAATATTTAAGCTTAGCTTTAGCGACTTTATTATTAAGTAAACATATAGTTTACATGAGATTAAGTTTAAGGGTGCTTCCCTATTACCTGGTTTCTAGTGACCATGTGTGTATCAGTCAGTTTCTAAATTTTCCAAATTTTAAAATTTTTCTCAAGAACCAATCGGCCATTTTCAACTAATATTGGTACAGAACTTTCCTGATTGAAAGAAGTTCGGAACTGTTAAAATTAAGGGACCAAGGAGAGATTTAAAAAAAAAAAAGTGAAAACAAGGGTAAATTCATTAAAAAAAATCGATTTTTCTAGAACAACTAGACAAGAAAAATTTATGATAAGCCTTCCGACATATTCTGACAATATGTCGACATCTTCTGACAATATGTCGGAAGGCTTATCATAAATTTTTCTTGTGCCAGTGCTAATGCCAATGCACCACAATTCCATGATTAAAAATATCAATCTGCAAGGTATCCCAGATAGTGTAGATTTAAACGGACTCAATGCCGTGAGAGAGGCATTGAGTGGGACAGATATAGTAAATTTTATGGAGAAAAATCATTTAATATCTTCTCTAAATCAAAAATAGAATCAATATCCTTTTTGAACAACCCCGAGTTGTGTCGATTTAGGCATCTTATTTTCAAATTATGTAACCATGGAACCAGGTGTTAGAATTTGGCTAAAATCATGGATTATATTTTAAATGCATTTATACGGATAGGGATGGGGTGGGGGTTTTTTCTAAATAGGTACAACAATGTTGGTCATACTGATTTTTGCAGCATCCCCTGAATGTATGGATTCAAAGGCCCTTGGGGTCACAATTTATCCTAAAGTGGTGACATTGTTTAAAATCCTCTGAAGAACAGGGGCTTTAATGTTAGTATGGAGAGCGATTGATGTTATTGTCAAGAAAACGAACCATGATCGCTTTACAATTTTGAAGTTTTGATTTTTAAGTACAGGTTCACGTAAGAATCAGGCAATCGGTGATAAGTCGAATATTTCATATTCGGCCAATATTTTTTTATATTATTACTTGATACAGTAGTAATTAAAATAAATCATGATTTTTCCAAAAAGGCACATCCAGGCTGTGATATGTTACTATAAATAGATTCCGGCATTTATGGGCCAAAATGTTAACCAAAAAAGAGGAAGTTCAGTACAGAAGTAACAAGTGTTGTTGTTTTTTTTTTTATAAATTATCTAACCCTATTTTATTTTGAGAGGAGTCTGTATCCTTCTTGTATTAGTTGTCATGGAGTTGATATCTAGGTCGTATCCATAGTAACCATTGTAATTATATGTCAAGACATTTTAGATGTCACAAACATTGTGAATTTAAAACAATATTATTAAAAACAGCAAACACATTATGTAGCTTATTACACATGGAAAACTAAAACAAGCGCTCATTATTACTTTTCCAGTTTAAAAAGTGTGGAAAAATCAATTAGCAGTTTTTAATGAAAAGGAAAACTATTGAGAAATTTTGATAAATTGCTTGAAGTTTGACATGATTTTTTCCTAAATCTAAGTGCATTGTGTGTAAAATTTAACTTTTATTGAATTGTTTCTTAATTACATTTATCACATTATTATGAATTTTTCTATTCAATGTACCGAGTTTACTCTGGAATTAATTTTATTTCTCTAAAATAGTTTTGGAGAGAATTATGATCGGGATCGAAATTCTGTATATTAAGTACCCAACTTTGATGATTCCAGATATTTTAAGGACAGACGATACGTTCCTCAATAATATATAATTTTTTCTAAGATTTTGTCATTAAAGTATTGCTACTTTAACATGTTTACTCACAAAAAATTGAGGTACATTACCAGGCATTTGTGCATGATACCAGTGGATAGTTCTTCTTGTATAATCCTTTTGGAAAAAATTTAATTTGCCAATATCATTTTTTTTAGTGTTTGAATTTTTTAAATACGATTAGAAACTGGTTTAGAAATCAGAAAGTCATTAAAATTTTAAATATTTTTCATACTTTACGAAGATATACATAACAGATATTTGAGGAACGTATTGTCTGACCTTAAACAGCTGTTAAAACTAAGCAAGCGCATCCATTTTTCTTGTATTACTTTTTTCATATAGTAAACATGATGACCAATCACTATCTATTTGGGTGATTCTTCTTATATAAGCATTTATTAATTTTTTTTTTTTCATTTAGTTTTTCAGCTTTTACTGTTTGTCAAATACTAACTTACATATAACAACAGAAAATACATTATGCTACATGAAGACATAATTATAATGTATAAACAAGTCAGAGAATGTTGGTCTCTGCTAGCAATGTCCTAAAACTGTCAACTTTTATAGATAAAATTATAAATTCATTAAGTTCTTTGACTTTTTCTAAATCATACTACATGTATATGAAAGGAATGTAAAGGATTTTGTTCAACTGCAGAAAATGATGCAGCTGCAACATTTGATTTACTGTACCGTTATATGAGCAGCAATACGATATTTTTAATTGCATATTTAACACAATATGTCATGTTGTTCAACATACTAAATTAAATGTTTAAATATGAAAATTTCCAAGTTTATTCTAAAGAAATCAACAATGACCAATTTGCAAAAAGGTTTAACATGTTTATTAAATGTTAACAATTTACATGATATATAAATTACATTGTACATAATACAAAGATCTAAATTTGTAGAAGAAAAGTTGTTACAATATCAGTTCTTTATAATCATCATTCCATCCCATGATTTTTTAAAAAAAAAAAAAAAAAAAAAAGAAGCTTTTTAAACTACAGTACTTTTCAAGAAGACATGCACATTCAAAATTCTGAACTTGATCAATTTAATATATGGACTTGTGGTGCTTCTACTTTTGGATGATTTCCGTTGTTTTCTCATATAGTACTCGCCACTCTAAATCTCAACTGGTATGCTATTCCCTTTGTTTACAAAAGTTAATGAGCAATGTAGGACTAAAGTTCTACCTACGTACAATACTGTCACTAGCTTTTATGATGGTTAAACACAACAAAAGGCAGCAGATTCACTGCTCGATGTGATTTTAGAATATTCTTTCATTCGTAAAGTTTGTTTCCTTGTTTTTCACTAAATTTTGAAGTTTGGACAGGAGAAGAAGACCTCGACTGTTTGAGAAGACCAAAGAACTCTTCTGCAACTTGAACTTGTCTGAAAAATTAAATGCAGTGGCATATTACCCAGTATTTTAAACTCTGATAAGCATAAAATTTATTATTGTTAAACAATTTAATTACTTATCTCTAAAAACATTTTTAAAGTCTTAAGCAAGATATTTTTTCAATTGGTAGTTTAAAATAAAATAAATATCTATTCTATACCCATTTTATAAAATGGGGTTCTCCTAATTCATAGGGAGGATTTCCAAGAAGAAAAAAAAATACACCCAACTTTGAAATAATTTTGAAAAAGACCAAAAATTAAGGCACTTAGAGCTTAATGGAAAAAAGCTTGCTTAATATATTTGGTTGACATCAAAAGGGTTTTCCTCACTGTTATAATGTTAGCTTAAAAAACTACTTACTTGCACATGTTGCATCACATGAACTCCTTTTTTTGTAAGAAGATAATTTCCATATTTCAGCAGGGTTTCGGGAAATAAATCCATAAATGTTAGATATATAATTGTGTCTTGAAATAACCACAATCAAGTGTAACATAGGCTATGTTGTTGTTCTCAAATCGAGTGTCGCATGACTCGAATAAGTCCGCATTTCCTCGCCAACTTGACTTTATGATTGAGAGTTTCAATAAAACTGCTGTTTGGCAACGATTGTTTAAAGTGCGTTGTGTAACGAGAAGACCAATTTTCTTTGAAGTCTGTTATAAACTCTTGTACATCTTTGATAACGCAGTCAAACTGTAAAACTATAATAATCCTGCCCAAATCCGCATATGACAAGTTTCGAGCAACCTGAACCCGATCAAATTTGACACCCACTGCATCGCTAGATTTCAAGGAAAAAGATGTTAAGTTTGAAGTTAGACATTCCTTAATTTTCAGTAGATTAATTAAATCAAAATAAAATGCCAAATTCGATGTTTAATCAATTTGATTCTGTTTTTTCGGCATCAGCGTACTTAACAACGGAGCGCCCTCAAGCGACAAATTAAGTCATAAATCAAGAACGATAACTGAAATTCACTAATATTGGAAGTAATTATCGGGGTAGTAAACGCTAGAATCGCAATTTTCCAAACTTTTTAAAATTTAAAACTATAATTTTTAAATAGCTGTTTCGTTGTTCATTATCACTTTCTCTCATAACATTTGCTGTTTTAATTTTTTAAGGTTTCAATATCCATCCATTGTATAGATTTGTACTACTCATGTTCATAATATTTTCTCGATATACTGCCTATTAAATTAGAACAAGCCTGAATATTTCCAAATCATTGAACATATGTAATATATATGTCCTGATGCATAACCATGTGAAGTTTCAAGTCAATTCTCAAACACTGACTTATCAGGAAAATTTTATTTTGCCTGATTCTTACGTGGACCTGTACTTAATGAATTTTTATTAAAATCTTCATAAGAACTCATAATATAAAATCTAGCAATTTTGTTTCTTTCTGTGAAGCTTGAACATATGATATTAAATGATAAATGCTTTTATGATTATAATGATAAATATCATTTTTTGGTTCAGATATTTGTTATACATTATCGTAAAACTATGAGGAAGACAAGAGGTGAAAGATGTTGTGAATACATAAAAAACATCTGGAATTGGCTTGACTGGTTGATTGTAATTTTCTGCTTTGTGGGCTTTGTTGCCAAATATTTCGCTGAATGCGACTCCGTTCAAGTTTTTGCAAAGATCATGTTCCTGCTGTCATATATTCTGCTAAGCATGCGAATCTTGAATATGTTTTGGACTTATGAGTCTCTAGGCACTCAACTAGTCATCATTCAAGAAATGGTTTGTACTCTCTTCCGTAGTAACTGTTAAAAAGTTTTTAAAAAATGAATTTTACCTTTAAAATTTCTTTGACATATATTCGTTGAGGTTGTGCTAATAGAGGCTAGTGCATCATTGCTTTTTTTTCGCCTGCAGTTTTTCTTCTTCAAAAGAAATTAAATTCTCTTCAAAAGGAAAAGAACAAAAGAAACCTTTAAAGAGCATAATAAGATTTAAAAGACATTGATCTATGACAATATAGTTATAAAATGTGTCACTCATGTATAATATTTAGTCTACAGTTAAGAAAATTATTTGGAATATCAATAAAATATTTAGATAAAAATATTTATGCAATTGCTAGAACAAAATATTCGTGCATATTTTTCTCTATTAGGCTAAAATAACAGTTGCTTTTATGGCGATAATGCTTGTTATAATGATGTGTTACAATGTGGTGGACTACGCCCTTCTGTATCCAAACACAGAGTTCACATGGACGGAAATTCAAAATATTGCAAAAAATGGCTACTGGGCCTTGTATGCAAATTTCCCAGAGGATGTTGGTAAGTTTCAATCAATTAAATCTTAAAATATCGAGTAAAGTTCTAGTACACGTGTAATCATTGAAACCGTTTATAAAGGCATCCATTTTTTATTTCAATTTTGAAGGTTCAGAGTGCACAAATAACGCAACAGAGTATGAACAAGAACTGAAACCAAGATGTCCGACCTCTTTGGGGGAAGCCCTGTCTCCAATCATTAGAGCCGTATATGGCTTCGTTGCCATTGTTATGCTGTTGAACTTGTTGATAGCAATTTACACGTATGTTAACAACTTTAATAAACAAATTCTTAAAATTTTAAAATGAAACGATTCATCGGTAGTCTTGAAAATTATTGGAAATTGTAATTTTTTAAACTGGTTAAATTTCATTTTTAGGAAAGCGTATGAAAATGTGGATAGTAAATCGCGAATATATTGGTCACAACTACAGTCAGATTTCCTTGAAGAATACACAATCAGAACAATTTTTCCTGTACACATGAAGGGTCTCTGCTTACTGGTGTTTGTTATTTATCTCTTGGTATCCTGGATCTATAGTAAAATCATGAAAACTGACCATGAGAATCGACGATTAATCAGAGGTAGCTTATGATTGCATATTGATCTTTATCATTGCCTTAATGAGGTATGAAATAGATAAAAAAAAAATTAAAAATCGATTTCATTTAAGATAACATTAATTTCATAAACCTTTTAAGGTTTTAGAACAGTATACAAAGGATATCAATTTTTTTTTGGGGATATGGAAGTTATTTCACGGGTGGGACAATTTTTTTTTAATTTTCAAGAATGCGAAGCAAGAGTGGAAAATATAAAAAAGAAATCCCGTCTTACGAGTGAAATAATTCCCACAAAATTTTGAATGTTCTGTTTATTACATTTTCTTTGATTTTCCAATTGCCTATTTCCTTTCGAAACAACGTGGCATTTACTCTGACGTCACAGTAGAGCGGCTGCAACGTCATATATAAGTGTTTGCGAGATTTGAAAACTTGTGAACATGGATTTCAATAGCAAACTTAGAGAAACTTTGGCAGTTTTATTCTCTGTCGAAGTGATTTACTCAATCTTATAACAATCCATGTTTGTACAACGGACTTCGTGAAGAAATTGAGAATTTTGCTCACATCTGACGTTCTTTCACACTTTGACAGAATATCGTTTTATATTCTTCCACACTGATAAAATATATTTAAAAAATATAACTTTTATTTAACAAATAAATTACAATATTTCACTGTTGAAAATGTTTGTAATAAATGTGTTTTCTTGTGGACGTTGTTATAAGAGTAAACGACAAGATTCAATGTCATTACAGTTCTCTTCTTCGATGAAACCTTTGATGATCTTCGGACGGAAACAACTGAAGAGGAAATAGATGGAATGTTAGAAGTGCAAAGGTAGCGTTAGAAATTTTATAATCGCAAACTAACAGCTTAAGTTCTGACACACACACCCACCTTTGATAAATTCAAACATCTACCGAAAATTATTCAGATAAATATTTCATTCATAACACATATGCTTGCTTTTTTTCAATCGACTAAAAATTATATGCAAAAAATCAAATAACAGAAACGGATGAAAAAAAAATCTGAAAATTTATACACATCGTTGCAAGTAGAATGGTTATTTACAAGTAAAATATCATAATTTACCGAAAGGATCCTAGTATTTTGAATATGGTTTAATAAACCAAAAAATCTATGCATGGAAAACTATATTAAAATGAATGCTACAATGTAACACTTAAAAATTTTCTCTGTTGATTTTATTTGTTTATACATATTTGTTACATTTCCGTATTGATTGTTATATCAGGGACACGGATACTTGGGTATCTGAGGCTGAGGATATTTCTGTAAAGGTAAGAAATATGCGTACCAGGTAAATAAAATAATTCAATAAGTAAAATTACCATTACAGTACATGTATAATACTTCCTGATGATAAGATTTAACTCTCTGAGTCGTATTATCTTATTCTTATTCAGTAATATAACACTCATTTATATTTTCAATGACAATAATTGGACAATAAATGCAATCCTATATGAGATATTTTAAGAGTTTAAAACTCTCAACAACACAAACATGTTTTAAGTATAATCTTCACCGATTGAAATCTGGTCTTCCATAATAGCAGGAAAGACTGATTGAAGAAGATGATACAGAAGTAAGGGTAAGTATAGTTCAATATTATCTTTTTGTTCAAAAAATTCAAAAATGCTACTTTTATATCGTTGAAAGTTTCATGCTCAATCTTTTATTCATAAAAATAAGCAATGATTTATACGGGTTTTTTTTGACAGATTGCATTCCTTTATTATCATAATACATGTATAATGATGATTAGAATTATACCATTTTTGAAAAAGAAAAAAAAAAAAAAACTAAAAAAGCTCAAGATGATATAATGCAAAAATTCATAAATTCATAAAATTTTTAGATCAGCAAAATAAAAAAAAAATGTTTTAACCCACAGATCTGGATCAAAGATATCAATGAAAAGGTACGTATATGTGCATTACCTTTTCATTCTGACTATCACTTAGACATGTTTAACATTTGGTCCTTCTTCATTAATCAGGGATTTTGAAATCGCTGAAAATTACTCGTATATTTTTAAAGTTATACAAATATGTTGGGGGAGGGAGATAAATTGCACTAGAGTAGTAGTAAATCACTATTATTGTGAGATTCTGCTTCATTTTCAGCCTACTTATCCTCGATTTCATCAAATAACATGATCGCTGTTTAACGCGCAAGTCATGACGAGTATAAACATGGACACGTTGTGACGTCTTAAGGAGTGTGTTTTCATTATTAAACTCATCGACAAAATAATTTTAAAAAATCATAACATGTAATGGTGCCAATTAGTATCAATATTAATACCAACCATGACTTGCGCTTAAAACAGCAAGCATGTTATTTGATGAAATTGAGGATAATAGGGCTTGAAATATAGCGGAATCTCATTATGACAGTTTTTTTTTTTTTTTTTTTTTTTTCAAGGTAACACCTAAGAAATAAGACAAATGATATATAGAATTATAGCATACAAAATTAAAACAAAATCAGTGGATATTCCAATAACATGATTATATAAGTTGGAAAACGGTTATAAAGTAATTGGATATATCCTTTCTTCCGCACAGATTCAATGCATGTTAACGGAACTGAACACCATAAAGGTTTGTAAATGTCCATGATAAAAACGAATTATGGAAAATAATGTAATTTTAAATAAACAGTAAATATTATGATAAAGGTAAAAAATGGATGGGAAAATCAATAGTAAATCTTTCATACAGTACAAGGCGTGTTTATCTGAAGAACTGTAAGCCCGAAACAAAAAAATGAATAAATATAGAATTCCTTTGTTATTTTTCATACTAATAATTGTTACTTTCTAAATTTTACAAAAACGATCCCAGTCTATCCGTAGTAATACATTGTATGGTTTGTTATTACATGTGTATATGGTTTTCGCGTAAAAAAAATAAAAAGAATTGATTTCTCTTCTCAATGCAAATTATCATATTTAGTCGAGTGAATAAGAATATACTAAGCGTACAATAGCGGCATAATATTAACAGTTGTTTAAATTATTTTTTAAATTTATATTTCAGAGTTTTTCTGCACCTAAAGAAAGCTGTTCATCTTTAAAAGAGGATCACTAGTTAAAACAAACATTGGTAGCATGAGAACTATTCAATACTAACATAGGGAAATATATCAAATATAATCAAATATATCATTTTTTTGGTTTAGGAATTCAACTGTTTTTAATCATAAAGTGGATTTGAACTTGTAAATGAACAAATTGTTTTTCATATTTGTGCAAAATTATCCTTAATATTAAAGCATATATATCAATGCTTACTACATATCGATATAACTTATACGTAGAAATGTTAAATGGATTGTAAAACCCAAAATTCTCCTTTTACTTCTTATTTATCCCAGCAGGCACACAACATTGAAACTTTGAATCAACGTTGATTATATATGTTTATTCAACGTTTAGTTTACGTAAGATTTAGAAAATTGAGTTGAAATCTTAATGTTTAATTGATGTTGAAAATCAACGTTGATTAGACATTGAATAAAAATTAATTCAATGTTTTTTCTTTCATTTTTTTTTCGGGGGGAGGGGCATAACTTATTTAAAATTTTAAATGTTTTATAACAGGTACAGACCCTGAAACGTGCTACTACCCCAAAAAAGCGTGTGACTTTCGTGCGCTTTTCGTTTCGTGCAAACCGTGTAGCGTTTCGTGTAAACCGTGCAGCGTTTCGTGCAAACCGTGTAGCGTTTCGTGTAAACCGTGCAGCGTTTCGTGTAAGCTCCAAAGCGTTTCGTGCAAACCGTGTAGCGAGCGTGCGAGAAGCGTGTGAGAAACGTGCGACTTTCGTGTAAGAACCGTGTGAGAAACGTGCGACTTTCGTGCAAGAATCGTGTGAAAAACGTGTAGGATTCATTCGGAAGTCATTTTATTTTAAATATGGATATTGATGGATCAACATGTCATTCTGTGTTGTTTGTAAGTAATATTATTCGCATATATTACCGGTGGTATAAAATAAAAATACGGAAACAACAAATTAAATAAAATTACTCGGTAATGTATTACATATTTGTTTGTTTTTCTTCCTTTTTTAAAAAAATAAAGATGGACATAAAATATGTTCAAAGTTATTAATTATATGTACATCAATTTAGAGGTATTTGATTCAATACATTTTTTAAAGGGGGCAATACTAAACATTTTTTAAAAAAAGAAAATTCACCAAGAACCCGGTCTTGTCCTTTTCATTCATTCATTTGAATCTCTTCACCATTTTACAATTATGGTATATAAAGATTACAGGAACCTATTGGTGATTAATACAAAATAATAGATAGATAAGGCAGGCGTGAAAAATAAAATACAAAATTTAGTGCGTTGCTATAAATGTGAAGTATGGGAATTCTAGGCCGGGGAGCACAGTTAATTCATTTTCTTTATAAACGAACATAATTTTCTTATATCACAAGATTGTGTTACAAATAATGTTGAAACGAAGAATCATTTATAGTCTTTTTATGCATACAATTGGTTAATAATTGTCACATAAATGAATTATAATTCACATGCTTCGGCAAATACAGGGTAAATTATTTCCGGGGGGGGGGGGGGGGGGGTGTTCAAATGAAAACACAAACTGAGCTTTTGTTGTTAAGTGTTTTATATATAATTTTGTTTTTAAAGAAATCTATTGCTATATGCACCCCTTAAAAATATACTAGAATCTTCTTTACACGTTCCAACACTCTTCTTACGACAGTGATCAAGGTCATTCACAACAGCGATCACGGGCACCTCGTGCCGGGAACTGAAAACTTGTTCTGTTATTATCTCTTGTCAATCATAGCTAAGATGACACGGGACAATAACGATTGATTTTGATTAGTGAAATTAAATCGTTTTATTAGTATTTAATGGGTACAAATAAATACTGTCCGTGGATTTTATTTCTTAAATTTATCCGATTGTCTGTAAACAGTGAATTAATTTGCCAGTGTATTAGCGAATAAAAAAAATATATAGAAATAAATCTTGAGTACAGTGTAATTATTAGTTGTTTTATTAATCACGCAATTACAGAGCATAATTTTTAGTTTATAGGACATAGGACATGTACATACATGTATATTGAATGTATTGCTAAAAGCCGTGACTTTTGATTACTTTTTTTTAATTGTCTAGACGGGGTTTGAAATCAAGGATTTTACAAGGTGGTGGATATATTGTTTTTATTTGATAAACACGATGCCTCAAACGAGAACGAGAACGATTATTTATCATTCTGAATAAAGTGCATTTAATGAATTACATGTATCTGGTCCCTCTATATATCCTTTTATTTTCTTAGAATGGGCACCTGTTTCTATAATAATATTTCCCCCAATGTTATACTAACTGAAACAAGTGCCCGTTATATTTAGCCGTGTACAGATTCGAAGATACAACAGCAAGATCTCGGTAATCTACCTCTCCCCCCCCCCCCCTTCCTGCACAATGTAGTGTACATGTCACTTTTTCAAATTATAAACAGAACCTAAACTAATCCAATGAATATATATTTTTTTTTATAAATCAAAAAATGAATAAATCAATCAAAAATTGAAAAAGAAAGAAAAGAAAATCAATTCGCTTTCAAAAACCATACGCAATTTAATCATTTATTTTTTTCAAATCAATAACTGAGTTTATTTGTCAGTAATGAAACGACTTTTTAATATCAAACTATAGGCTAATTGTAAAAACATTGGATGCTATAAAAGATTATGAATTACAAATATAATAATTTTTTTCAGTGCGTAATTTAGAGTCTATTTAAAAAGGTTTCTACATAGACGATGATAAGCATTTCACCGAGCGGGCACATACTCAATGATAACTACATCTGTATTAATTAATTACAACCGAAGATTGAGTATTTTACCTGTTAATATAGTACTGGTGTAGCGAGTTTTAATCTTAAACTGAATGATTGCAATTCTTAACTAATCTTTGATTAATCCGTAATAATTTAAATAAAGTCCGAGAGATTCCGAATAGAAAATCCAGATCGAGGCCAAAGCGTGCGAGAATCGTGTACAAAGCGTGTGAGAAACGTGTACAAAGCGTTTCGTGCAGGCTTTCGTGTAAACCGTGCAGCCTTTCGTGCAAAGCGTTTCGTGTAAACCGTGTAGCGTTTCGTGCAAACCGTGTAGCGTTTCGTGTAAACCGTGCAGCGTTTCGTGCAAACCGTGTAGCGAGCGTGTACCGTTCGTGCAGCGTGCGTGTGGGGTAGTAGCACGTTTCAGGGTCTGTAACTAAGATGCCTTCATAATTGTATAAAGGAAAACATATATGAATAGAATCAATATTGTACATGTAACTATTTTACTAACTTCCTATCAATAGATCAGTTACAACAAATTTCACAAAAATACATTTTATAAATTAATCATGTTACAAAACCCGAGCATTTCACAAACGTTTTGTATTCTCACACGTGGACAAGAAATAGTCCAGTACATGAAAACATCCGAAGATAAGATGTAAATCTTGTACATGTACGCTACCAATTTTGATGCACCTGATGCGCATTTCGACAAATTATGTCTTTTCAATGATGCTCATGCCGAAATGTTTGAAATCAGAATTCCGATAAATGTTTTTTTTTTTGTTTTTGTTTTTGTTTTTTTTTTTAAATACGTTTTAATTAAATCTTAGTGTTAGAGTCCTGAGGGTGGTGTAGGTCTCCTGATAAGTGTTCTCTCCTGGATTATGTTGGTCATCTGAGTGGACAGAGTGGTGCAGCTTTTTAGTTGATTACCCCTACAATGTACAATTTGATGTTATAAATATTTTTATAATGAAATATGTTAAAACTGCGTTCAATCTCATAATGTTTTTTTATTCCAAAATTATATTTCAATGAAAATTGACGAACACTTGAATAAACAATATCTTACGCTTTTTCCAAATTATGAATAATTAATCCAAAGACAAATGTTTTAAAAAAGAAGCTTAACATGAATATATATATGCTAAATTAGCCAATTTCTTGGCATTGCAAATGATATTTATTCAATAAAACTTGAAAATGCAGTTTTTAAAACTGTAATGAGAATGGTTAATACACTATATCATTTGATTTCCATATGTTAACATTCATCAGCCGCTTCAAATTTGCTAGAGTTGTTAGGTGCTGGAATGTCCTTCCGTTACAAGGTGCATCTATATCATTGTTTGGCTGTGAGATTAAATCTATTTCTGCATGATATCTCTTCAATCTCTTTATGAGCCATGCCTATTGTTCATGAAACACAAAATAAAATAGAGTTAATTTAAAGTGTAACAGGAAACTAAAGAAAAAATATATTAAAAGTTTGTGTTCCATCAAAGCAAAAGTCTTACACATGAATGTTGGCAATTCAACTCAATTTGAATTCAATGTTGAATCAACGTTACTTTTTCAACGTTGAAAAGACAACGTAGAAACAATATTGAATCTAGATTTATCAACGTTTAAACCTAACTTCAACTAGTATTCAACGTTTCAACAACTTTGTGTACATGCTGGGTATCTTCGTTGGAATAAAGTACTGAGGTGCTTTTTGTAATGATATCTTCTTAGTACATGTATAAAATGTACATAACAGAATTTTTCTCTCTAACACAATTTTCAGTGCTTATCATTTATATCGTGATCATTAAATCATTTTGTATTACTTATAATGTGTCATTTAATTGTATTTTTTTTTTGTCCCCCGCTTTCACTGAGAGAGGGGGATATTAGTTTGGGTCGGTCTGTCCGTCCGTCCGTTTGTATTTCTGTCTGTCTGTAACACTTTCGTTTCCGCGCGATATCTCCAGAGCCCTTTGAGATTTCGCAATGAAATTTTGCATAGCAACTCACTATGGCCTAAAAAAGAATCCTATTGATTATGAGGTCAAAAGGTCAAAGGTCAAGGTCATAAATTAATAAATTCTGTTTGTTTTAACACTTTCGTTTCCGCACGATATCTCGAGAATCCTTTGAGCTTTTGCAATGAAATCTTACATAATCACTCCCTGTGGCCTAAGGAAGACCCTTATTGATTTTGAGGTCAAAAGGTCAAAGTTCAAGGTCGTAAATTCATACA